AATTCCATATTTTTCAATTCAGATACAAAAAAAAAATATGAATAAAAAATGCAAAATAATTGATGGCAATTCATGTATAATGGAGATATTGCCCAATGGCATTCATTTCACATATAAAAAATGCAACTTAAATTCTCATCAAACTTTCCCGATTTTCTAATTATTCATTGAATTTCACTAAGAAATTCAAAGAAAAGAACAGATTTTTTTTTGATTTTTTTAAATATAAAGAAAAAATTTTTTCGATTGTTTTAAGTATAAATTATGAAATATTCGAATGAGATAAGATTGAGAAGTGCTAATTAAATCGATTTCTTCAGTTTTTCATTTCTTACTTTATCACAGTTGTCATTGTTGACAAATAATAATTTTCCATTCAACTGTGTCGCATGATTAGCACTGATAAATGAGATGCTATCGTCGATCATTTGTCCTTCATCAGCTGTCAAACTACTCGTCGTTTCATCTGTACTACTTGCTAAAACAAAAAGTTCTTTTTTTCTAATTATTTTAAATTCTCGAATGAAAAAAATTAGTTCACCTGAAAATGATTGCTGAATCGGATCTGCAAATTCAACAACATGCGGAATTTTTCGTCCTTTCTGTGATAATATTGATGATTTGTGCTGCTCATTCATTTCTTCCTAAATTTGATTTTAGAAAAGAAATGTAAATAGGCGCTCACTTTAATGGATGAAATACAAGTAAATAATGGTGATGTAAACAACGTTAAGTAAATATGATCGAAAGTGTAACATTTTTTTGTCTTATGAATTTGTAATGAAACAATGAAAAATAAATCAAATTAATGAAATAGTGTATGGATAATAAACGAAAACGTTTGAGATTGAATTTTTCATATGTTGTTACATTTTAAAAAAATCAGAAAGTATTGTGTTAATTTGATGAAAAGAAATGCGATTGAAATTGATGAACTGTGATATAATAAGTATTATTTGATATTTCAGTATATTTGTTACATTATCAATCATTTATGATAAAATAGGCATTTTTCACCTATTCCTGAATACAGTAATTGCATCTGTCACATTAATTTGAGTACCATTTAATAATGTGCGTTGTAAATCGGAAATGTAAATGAATTAATGGTGAGGTCACGTGCAACACGTATAAACCTAAATTCTGTGATTTTTTTTTCTTTTATCAAAATATCAAAATTACCACAAAGTGTTATGAGGTATTATATTAAGGTATTATAAACAGAGAGGAACCAGAAAAGTCCACAAGAAAGAGAAGGAGAGGGAGAGAGAGAGAGAGAAAAAGATTTCACTTGGATTATTATTGTAAATTCTTTTAACCTCTTCACTATCTTCCATTTATTAGATTTTATAAAACTTTTCAAAATATTTACAAATTTTCGTCTACCTGTAAAAATCGGATGCGATACAAATTTGAATAGATACAATACAATTATCATCAATTTCTCGAATGAAGATAAAAAAGAAATGGTAACAGACCATATTAACAGATTGATTTTGCATGATTTCCAATATATCATTGTTATCATTTTCGATATCATCCACAATATCAACAGCTTTTGGTTTCCTTTTTTCAGCATCATTTGTGAAATCTGATTGATAGCGGAAATTTTCATTTGTTACAACAAATTCATCAGTCACAATTGATGACTGCTCCTTGCCTTTCATACTAGAGAAAAGGGAAACGATTGAAAGAATAATTAATATTTAATTTTCACATTACTTAAATTTAATATCTAATCCTCATTTTCTTGATATTCTAATTAATTCTTGATTTCTATTATTCATATTCATAATATTTTTTTTTCACAAAAATTTTATACGTCATAAATTTGAAATGGCGATTCATCCTGTAATTGATTACAATAGCAATTTCACAACAATTCGTTTAAATCACAAATTTTTTATATTGATTTCTTTCTTAGTTATATTTTCATCGCTATTATTAAAGTTATTCAAATCAGACCATTTATTTATTAATTTTGCTTCAGGCAATATGTCAGCCGTTTTAATACTTCGTTTAAAATTTTCCTGAAATGAATTGAAAATAGTTAGTAAGAAAATTAATGCAAATACTCTTATTTAAATTTTGAAATACACACATATAACTGTTTAATTTATGAGAATTTCTGACATTTAAATAATTCGAGAAAGTTAAATTTTCCAGAATTTTGACTACAAGGCTTTTGAATTTTTCATTTTTTTAATGTTGATCAGGAAAGATTGTGATAATACATTGGTAGTTGCCAATTTCAATTCCGATTCTGGAGGATTATATGGAAATTTCCATCGTATCGAAATATCAATGGATGCATCCGTCGGTATATCATTAATCATCTGCAAATGATTGTGACATTTTAAGGACATTCACTATACTGTCTCAAAAACGTTCAATCAACCGTATTGATATTGAAATTATAGTGAATTTATATGTGACATTACGGTTTACCGAAAGAAGCGGAAATATTCCGGAAATGTCATTGTTATGAACAAGCGGATAAAGCGCAATATTAACGTAACCAATTTGACGTTCATCACCATTGCGTATTTGTTCTTCCCAGACAACTATTGTTAAATGCTAAAATAAAAATTATATTTCCAAAGAAAAACTTTGCTAAATTTTATTAAAATCCATTTTTTGTAATTGAAAAAAACGAGAAAAATGATATTTAAATTTCACCGATGAGCGTAAATTATTGTACAGATCGATTCCAGTTGGTAAAATCCATGTTTTTACTGAATTATATTCCGGATTTGTGTTATTTGACACCGATTCGGTTCGCCATACATCGCAATCATACAATTCATAAGAAACGAAAGTTGTTGGAGCATAATTATCTAAATGTATAATTATTTTTAAAAATATTGATATTATATTTCATATAGAAATATACAATTTTCAGAAATGAGAAATACACAATTATCAGAAATGGAAGATAATAGCGTTGAGTTCAGAATCTGAACATTCTTGTATTCTTTATGAGATTCAGAAGCATAGTAGTGTTTATGGTAAGATTCATATGCATGGTGGAATTTGTGATAAGCTTCAGAAGTATAGTGGAATTTATAATAAGCTTCAAAAACAGGGCAGAATTTGAGATAAAATTTAGAAACACGGTAGCATTTGTGATAAGATTTAGAAGCATCAATGCACACCAGAATTAGAAATCAATAGTGAGATTGAGAAGTAAAGTAAAATTTTTTTTTCTTCTTAATAAGAATGAATTAATTACCATTGATAAGTTTATCAAGATTGTTACAACGTTGAATGTCAACAATTAGCATATTGTACATGGAATGATTGATTGATTCATCACTATCAGTTAATGCACCCGAACTAACAACAGTTAGTTTTCTCTGTAAATTAATTTCATTAATTGAAAATTAAAATAAATGATACTAAATATAGTAGAATTGAAAAAAAAAACACACGAGTACATTTTGAGCAACTAAAAACGAGTATAATTTATTTTCAAATCATGTACTTAACGATATTTAAAGAAATAATTGTTTAATATTTCGATCAAAAATTTGAATGACTTTTTTCTTTTTTAAGTTTAAATAAATTCATGAAATGATAATATTTCTTTTTTTTTGTTTATAAAAATTTATACATTTTTTCTTCTGAAAGCTATGCAGTTTAATCTAAAATTGTAAATTATGATTTAAAAAATTTCATCTAAAAACAAAATATTTCATACAATTATTTATTACTAATAAATTACTAACTTTTTGTAAAATTAACGCATTAATCATTTTGGTATTTATGGTAATATCGTATTCAATTGTCGCAAATAAACAACCATCACGTATTGATCGCATATGAAGTATACCGCGGTGTGATTCAGTTACATTAACCAAATACTTCAGTGAAATGGTACCAATTGAGGAAAGTACATAATCGGTACCACGTGGATGGTACATTTCCACTGTTATACCATGCTGAATTTTTGATTTATTTTTTGAAAGCAAAAAAATATTATTGAAATTAATGAAATTTAGTAAATTTTCAAATTAGAATAGAAATATTTTTCTTTTTAATAGAATTAATATATTTAAAAATGTACTTACTGTTTCCAAGTAATGAAGGAATAAATTTGAAACAACAACATCATAAATTGTTGAAAAATCCAATCGTATCCTAAAAAAAAAAAAAAATCCAATCGTATCTGTAATTGAAATATTTTTGCATAAAAAAAGAAATTTACATTTCACAAAGAAAGTTGAATTTAGTTTTAAACATTATTTGTGAATATAAAGCAGTAGTTTGTATGACGAATATTGGTATTACATCAACATTGACTTCATTTTCTTGAGGATCATACATTTATTGACTTCATTTTCTTAAACTTCATTCATTTCTTTTTCCCAATTACAAGATAGGTATGTTTGAAACTTTTCTAATAACATATTATCTACGATAAAATCCAATGTACATCATTCTTCTTCATTAATTATTACAAGGACTTTACTTACTCAGGTCCAGTTAACATTGGTGTTGTTTGCAATTCAAAATCGTAAAATTCTATGGCCAAAAATATAACAGGCCTGGCAGTTCCAAGTTGAGATAGACTATGAGAGGTCAATACTATTCTCGACAAATGTAGCATCATTTCGTTTGTTTCCATTTCTTGTTTATCCGTCTAAAAAAAATGCAGGCAAATTGTTCAGTGATCAATTTTTAGAACATTATTTCTTGAAATTTGGTAAGATCAAAAGTTAACAATTTAATAAAATTAAAAATTAGGAGCCAAATTGGCATTCAATGCTCGGCTTTTATTTCAAATTTGCAAATTATAATATAGCAAGCAATAGGAATGGTAGTAATTGTTGACATTCTTAGAAAATATTGAAATTTGAATTTATAATTTAGCGTGATTTATATTTCCTTGTTAAATTTAATTAAATTTAATTAGGCAATTGAAATAAATAAATGAGATGAAAATTTCTAAATTTCTTTGCATTCAATTAAGCTCACTCAAATTATTTAAATATTTGAAAGAAATATTCAAGCTGATTTCAATTATTATCGCAAGAAAATTGTTTACCTTTGCATGTGGAATAAGCATTTGATCGCCATATGCTAATGTTTTCAATCGTATTTCTAAGTTTGTAATTTCAGCTTCACGTTCGGTTAATTTCACTACCAAATCCTTTATTTTGTATTCCGATTGCGCTTTTGACTCTTGTAAATTTTGATTCAATAAAGCTATCTAGAATCATTCAAAAAATTTTAAAAATTAAACATTTATCATTTTTCTGGCACATCGATAATATGAAATTTTGATCAAAAGAAACGAAAATTTGAAATACTATAAAATTTTTAATCTTATTTTTCATTGTATATATTGTATATTGTATATTGTATATTGTATATTGCATATTGTATATTGTATATTGTATATTGTATATTGTATATTGTATATTTAATTGTATATTTTTTCAATTTATTTGAAATCATTTCTTTACAGGCTAATTATTGAATGCCGTAATTGTTTGAAGAAAAAAATCAAAAATAAAACAAAATGGTAGTAAAAATGTAATAAATTTATGCTCGTTAGTTTGTTTATTTCAAGTTAATTCGTTTTAATTTAATCATCAATTAGTAAAGTTGTAAAAAACAATAAAATTTTTGAAATATTGCCAAAAAATTATAAAGTAGCACATATTTTACTCACAATTACACATTCAAAAATATCGTTTTAAATTATAAATTTCTGCAAAACTTAGGAATTCAATTATTCAACGATTAATACAATACCTCTTGAAGATGCTGTTCATTGATATTATGTTGAATGAGTAACATATTTCGTACCTTTTCAAGTTCACCATAAATTTCCATATACATCGTACGCCATCTGAATAGCTTAGAAAGGTAACAATTATGCTAAATCACTAA